TTCAGGCTGAAAGGTTTTTTTCCTAGTTGTTTATTTCAAGTGGGGATTAATATATTACATATAATATATATTACATATATAAATATATAACTATGACTTTATATATATTTACATGTATTAATATATGTAAATATATTATATATGTAAAGTTATATTTATAAAATTTTTGACAACCAAGCCTTTTCACTTCTAAAATAGCTAAGGTTTTTTACAACTATGTTACCTCCTATAGTAAAGTTTTAAAATTTCTTTTGGTTAAGTAGGTAGTTAAGTATGATTTCATAGTGACCATAATCTTATTTAGTTTGGTGTTCAAACCGTTGACATGTTTGGCAGCTTGCTTTCTCAAAATCAAGTCTGAAGAGAAATTTTGATCTTAAATTGATCATGATATTTCCAAGAGGGCCTCTAGAAAATCTGGAAGAATTTGTTCTTTCACGTTGTAAAAAGGGAGATGTTAAAAAAAAAAGATTTTTGAAAATTGAATTGCATGAAAAGTGTTGACAAATGAGAAGAGATGCTTAATTTACCCTGTTACATTTTCATAGGTAAATGTTATTATACGACTATTTTATAAGTTGGATGAAGTTCATAGAAATTTGTCAACACCCCTGATATTCATAATATGTCCTGGTATAATGCTAGTCATGAATTCAGTTATTTTAAATGTTACATGTCACAGAGACAACCAAATTTTACTAATTACTTTATAATGAACTCTTGTTGAATCTTTAGCCATGGCCATTTAAAATCTTTTCATTCACAGATAGTTTTTGTTTTACTCTGGTTCATTTATAAAAACATGTAATAAAGCTACAGGCCAGAATGCCTCATCTTTAACAAAAAGGAAGAGTTTCAGAGACCCATGGAAAAAACTATCGGGTATGGATTTTTGCTTGAAACACTGCTGATTCTTTTATGTTTTGTTTTCTGGATATAAGGCACATACTTCTCTTCTCTCTTAAGTTATTTACAACTTGTAGAAATTAGTAGGTTATACTTTTGTGAATAGAAATGACAAATTTATCTTTTCCTCCTTTCCTAATTCCTCCAGAATTTGAAAGCTCCTATTGTATATTCTTATTTTCATGACAGCATAATTATTTGCATAAGTTCAATAAGAATTTGTCCTTTTGTAACTGAATACAACTGGAAACACTGGCTATATAAGCAAGGATTTTATTTAATGTTACATTTGAAAATGATACATAGAATCAGATCTGATCAGATAGTTTTAAGGCGCTAAGGCTGATTTTATGAAGCCAATGCTTACAAAACCCTCTTGGGAAAAGAATTCCAGGTAACCTTTGTAGAGAAGCAGGGATGGTTAAAGGGACAAGGGCTGAGAAGTTTTAGAGGAGTTTTGTTGTCTACTTCTACTCCAGAGCCTAAGAGTTCCTTGACATCAGCCTTCTACAAGGCATATTGAAGCATTCATCTCTATGGACAGTACTTCACTGTAGTGGAAGCCCCCACCATTGGCCTGTTCATCTGGGATCTGTACAGGACCTTAGGAATGGTCTGGATGGTCAGGACACACATTTTTGCTCTAACTCAGCAACATCTTTATTAACGTTTATATTTTAAATATTATAATAAAGTGTTTTAAAAATGAAATAACTTTATGTAATGTATAATGTGGGAAACAGAGCTATTCAAAAAGAAAATGAACACTATCATATAAATAGTTATAACCAATTATATTTTGCTGTATTTAGCGTCAGGACTTTTTTCTATAATGTTAGTTATAAGTCCAGCATACATTAGTATTATAATTTTCATTCTCACAAAAGTTTTTATTAATTTGCAATTCAACCAACAAAGTATATCATAGGCATTTGTCTCAAGCCAGGATTATTTGTTTTAAAAAATGTATACTGTTTTATTCTTAATATGGATAACATACAAAGTCAAATTGAAAGTGGTTTTTAAAATTTATTTTATTTTAAATATTTTGAGTACAATTCAGGATTAGGTATACAAGTGGTCATTATACAAGTAAAGTTTGGGCCTACCTTTGGTCCCTACCTTGCCTGGTTTTTAGATCAGGTACCCTTATTAGTATTATGTACCCCCCTTTCCCTGGCAGTTTTCGGCTACTGCCAATCCCTTTTTTAATAGTATTATGGTAAATGTTCAGGGCTGCTTATGAGTGAGACCATACAATATACATTATTAGCAAGATGCTTCTTTTTGTTTTTGTTGCCTGGGATCTGCATTTTTAATAATATAACCTGAAAAGTTTGCAATGATTAATCATTCTCCTACAAGGTTATTTTTAATAGCTGTTATATAATTTCAATACAAGGATACTCCATCTATTATGGGTCCTATTAGTCACTGACTCACATTTAGTTTGTTACCAACTTTTTGCTATTTGATACAATAATGAAAATATTACATTGATGTGTAAAATCTTTGTGTACATGTATGAATAATTCCCAATAATAAATTTATAAAATAGAATTTATGGCTCAAGGGTCAGGCAGATCTTTAAATCTTTTAGTTCTTTCCTTCCAAACTCCCTTTAAAATGTTTAAACTATTTTATATTTATAATAGCTGTGCATTGCAGAACACATTTCTCCATTCTGGATTAGCCTATTTAATTGTGACTGGTTCTGAGGTTATCTCTAGACTCTTCCATCATAGAAATCAGCAATAATATGAAGTGACTTCAACACATACATATCTAATAGACCCAAGTAACTCCATTCTCTCTTGCCAGTTTGACAACCACTCATATCTTGTTGGACAATTTCGCCTACAATTTCCAAGTATCTCTGAGGTTTTTGCCAATGCAGTATGGAGTGCTTGTGTATTACCCAGGTGCTACCTTTCACCTGCCTCACCCCTCTTGGTGTTATGGACCACCCACCTTGTCAAGAAATGGGTTCACTCAACAATTGCCAAAGTAGCTCTTTTGAAATGTTATATTGACTTCACTCCTGAAAACAGCTCCCTAATATCTCAAACACATTCAAGACTGCAAATCCTGCCAACCCTGGAATCAAGAAGACTAGGCTGCAGAAGAAAGGGCTGGAAATCTAGGGAACTAGGCTCTAGGTAAGATTCAGAAACAATTTTTGGTTAATCTTAATTTTCTCCTCCTTTCTGGATATTATTTTTTAAAAATCTTGAAATGCAGGAACTGTAATATGCACCCTTTAACTCTCCTTTCACTTTTGACATTTTGTAACTTAATGACCTGCTCTCTGCCAAATTAATGGCTAATTATTTCTCTATATTGATCAAATAGTCTTCCTCCTTGCATTCCTTGTTTAAAAATCACTTCCAACGGGGCGTGGTGGCTCAAGCCTGTAATTCCAGCACTTTGGGAGGCAGAGGCGAGAGGATTGCCTGAGTCCAGGGGTTCGAGACCAGCCTGGGCAGCTTGGTGAGACTTTGTTTCGACAATAAATAAAAAAATTAGCCCAGCGTGGTTGCGCATGCCTGTAGTTCCAGCTACTTGGAAGGTTGAGGCAAAAGGATCGCCTGGGCCCAGCAGGTCAAGGTTGCGGTGGCTGTGAGTGTGCCATTGCACTCCAGCCTGGGTGACAGAGTGAGACTCCAACTCAAAAAATAAATAAATAAAATCACTTCCTTTTTAAAATCACTTGATAGGCTAGGCTCGGTGACTCAACCTGTAATCCCAGCACTTTGGGAGGCTGAGACAGGTGGATTGCCTGAGCCCGCGGGTTCGAGACCAGCCTGGGCAAATTGAAGAGACCTTGTCTCTACAATAAATTAAAAGTCAGCCGGGTGTGGTAGCATGCGCCTGTGGTTCCAGCAACTTGGAAGGTTGAGAGGGAAGGATCGCCAGAACCCAGCAGGTCGATTATGGGTTGACCATGAATGTGCCACTGCACTCCAGCCTGGATGACAGAGTGAGACTCTAACTCAAGAAAAAAAAATCACTTGAAAGATTTCTAAGAGTTATTTTTGAAGAGACGTTATTGGGAGTGTGTGTGTGTGTGTGTGTGTGTGTGTGTGTGTGTGTGTGTGGTTGTGTATTTATTTGTATGAGAAGGTTGCAAACTTTGTAACTCTAAGAGAAGACGGCAAATTATCCAAGGGAAGGGACTGAGTATGAGTATTTTCCTCTCCATTGTCTTGGTATAACTGTAAGCCATTCTTCACATAACAGCCACTCAAAAAATAAAAAAGATAATCTTGTCTGAGCTAATGAAAGTAGAACTTGTGTGGGAGATTACATGGTTATATGGCTATATTCTTCGTGCATCTTTGTGAGTGTGTGTGCCTGTATGTGTTATAGTATCTGGAAGGTAGAATGAATGAAAAAGTAGACTATCTAGCTCAAATATGTAGGAGTAAAGTTTTCTTGGAATCGACAGGAGACATATGGACAGGATACTTAGGATCAGAAGTGATTTGGATCAGGCATTATGAAACTCAGACATGAGTCAGTCCAGTGCAAGAGGAGAGACTTGTTATTAGCTATAGCTGCCCAAAATAACAGTATCTGGGCACCATTGCACAGTATCTATTGCCATACCAGAAATGTCCCTTAAGTGTGCCCCCACACCCTCATAGAAGCACACAATGCCAGGATTAAATAGAAGTCTTCTATACCAACTCCTTTCTGTCTATAGGTCCTGACTCATGATAGAAGAACAAAGAAGGAGGAAGCTTCAGCCAATGACACACACAGTCAAGAGTACAGTTTAAAGTGATTTAATGGAGGCAGAGCAGGAAACAGTTTCCTCCCATCCAGAATCTCAGATGAATCCTGAGCAGCTGAAGACCAGAAAAACCACTAAGACTTTCTGCTTAATTTAGAGGCTCAGAGAACTCTTCAGAGTATACATAAGGAAAAGCTTTTGAGTATATATTTTTAGGACACAAATAAAAGAGAGACTATGACTCAAGGTGACAACCTACTGATTAGAAGGTCTACAGAAAATTAAGACATAGATCAAATAGGAATTGGATGTTCAACATCTGGTGGTTGGCTTCTCATGGGTTTGGCTGTTGACCACATCACTTCTGCTTGGTCTTCTGCTGGGTTGTGCCTGGAGTGACTGTTGAAGGGTATGGCTCTGGAACCTTGGTGTAGCCTGGCTCAGGGACCTTGGTGTAGCCTGGCTCAGGGACCTTGGTGTAGCCTGGCTCAGGGACCTTGGTGTAGCCTGGCTCGGGGACCTTGGTGTAGCCTGGCTCGGGGACCTTGGTGTAGCCTGGCTTGGGGACCTTGGTGTAGCCTGGCTCGGGGACCTTGGTGTAGCCTGGTTCAGGGACCTTGGTGTAGCCAGGCTCGGGCTCAGGGACTTTGGTGTAGCCCGGCTCAGGGATCTTGGTGTAGCCTGGCTCAGGGACCTTGGTGTAGCCTGGTTCAGGGACCTTGGTGTAGCCTGGTTCAGGGATCTTGGTGTAGCCAGGCTCAGGCTCAGGGACCTTGGTGTAGCCCGGCTCAGGGTCATTGGTATAGCCTGGCTCAGGGACCTTGGTGCAGCCTGGTTCAGGGACCTTGGTGCAGCCTGGCTCAGGGACTTTGGTGTAGCCAGGCTCAGGAAACTTGCTGTAGCCCGGCTCAGGGACTTTGATATAGCCTGGTTCAGGAATCTTGGTGTAGACCGGCTCAGGGAACTTCATATAACCCTGATCAGGGACCTTGGTATAGCACAGCTCAGGGACCAAGATGTAACCTTGCTCAGGGTCATCGGTGCACGGAACCTTGGTGTAGATCGGCTCAGGGATCTTCATGTAACCCTGATCAGGGACCTTGGTGTAGCATGGCTCAGGAACCAGGATGTAGCCCTGCTCAGGGATCATGGTGCAGTCTGGCTCTGGAATCTTCATGTTCCCAGGTTGTGGAAACTTTGGGTGGCATGGCTCCTTGGTTATGGGAACAAACGGTTCTTGAGGTGGAGGCTGGCAGGGTTGCTTCACCTGCTGCTGTTGAAGATGAGGGGGTAGGGTAAAGGATTGCTTCTGCTGGTAGGAACTCATACTTCAAAGGATGCTGGACCTAGAGACAAAAAAAGCTGATTCAGTGGTTTGATTAAAAAGGACTGAAGTCAGATCCAATGGCAAATGCATCTTATTGCATGCCCCTTTAGAAGTGACAGCCTTTTTTTCCTGCCTGTTTCCCTGAATTTGAGATCATGGGAAGCTTCAATGATCCCTGTGTACTTTCAAGGGAAGAAGATACAGTTTTTTTGATCTTTTCAATGAGAGTGGAGCCCTTGTTTGACTTTCTTTCTTTCTGGTATGTCTAAAAATCTATGTACTACACAATAGCAGGTTCCTAGTATTGATGTAAGACCCTAGCTTTTCAATAATTTGGAAAGATGATAAGGTCTGGATGATAATAGTCTGGAGTCTGCTCACTCATGTTCACCTCATAGAGTGTTGCAGCTCTCACAGAAAAATTCTAAACTTCTTCTGTAGGTGCACACAAGCCACTTGGGAGTCTCTGTTTACACAGTCTCTCCGCACATCTTTCTGGAAGGCTCTCCATTCCATTACTACTTATCCACACACATGCATCCCTCATGACTGTTCTCCCTGATGCTTTCTTCCAGACTCCAGATCACCTTCCTCATTTTTCTGCAGCATGGTACCTCTCCTCCCTTTTTTTACTTCTGATTCTCCAAATTGTATGTTCATAAATTAGGTATATGTGTATTTTTTCTGATGGATTATACACTCATACTGTAAAGAAGAACTTGTCATTTTAACCTCCTAATTGCCAATGCAATGCCTCCTCTATTACAAATTCTCAATAAATATTAAAATGTCACTGAAGTGCCTTTGAAATGGGCATAGCCTCCTGCCAACTTTGCACATCTTTAGAGAAATCACTCCCCTTTTTTGACTCCAGGTTCCACAGCTGTAATCTGGGTGGTAAATGAGAATATTAATGACTTAAACAAAAGTATCTCATTCATTTAAAATTAATATATTTTAGCATGACAAAGACATCTCAATCAATATAAAGTGACAATGGAAGATGTTCTATTTGGGAAGACTTACCTGGTATGCAGAGAAGGTTGAGTTGTTCTGCCTCTGGAGTCTGGCAAGGAATCTCTGGTCAGCTGGACTTTTATACACAAAATGAGCCCTACCTTAAGGAAGTTGGATTTTGTTTAGGCTGCTCTACCTTCATTCCAGTTTTTGTGATGAAAATCTCTAGCTTAAAATTTTTTTTGGCCCTTGCTGTCTAACCATGATGTCACTTGGGCCTGACCCAGTGTCCACCCTTTGTGTTGTGATTGTTGTGGGCATTGGGCTGCTTGAATGGTAATGGATTATGTCAGGAAGAAGTTCTGGACTGCTGGGACCAGAAACAGGTATAACTCTTGGCCAGGCCCTTAATCTTCAGCCAGATTAGTCCTATTGGTCTTCTTAAAATTTGGAATGGATGAAGAGATGAAAATAGGCATTTCTGATTGTTCTGGGAGTTCACCACGATGGTGCAGAATAAGTGGATCATCTTTTGATTATCCATCTTTCAATGGTTCCAGGCCTGAGAGGGAAAATGGAAGGCAAAAATGCCTGCTTTGTAATAGAGTTAGTTGTCTTCACTATGGAGGGAACCTTAGGATGTTCTATTGACCAGAGATAGTAGATGTCACTAAGATGAATAGGCAGGATTGACTGATTGTTTGATATGGTGGCACAGCCTTGAAGACCCTTCCTCTCATGGTGCCTGTCTTCTCTAGGATGTCACAGGAACAGGAAAGTGCTGATTGCCTGAGAGTTCATACACCTGTTGTTTTCTCTGATTATAATAGGATGAACCTGAGGTCATTAACCCAGAGTTGGCCTCAATACACAATCTCTTACTAGGTATGGATCTTGGGAAGTCTGGATATTCTTAAAACTCAGTATGCAAATAACTTATCTTTTCTCACTGCTCTGCTGCTGTGTTACCTTCCATGAACCTGATACCCCAAGCAGAGTCACCACCATCAACTCCTTTCATCGGTTCCCCAAAACCTATTGTTATACTTCATCCTCACATACTGCCTGGTTATAGGAATATGGTAGATCAGTGGGAAATTATTGATTTTTGAATGGATCTGTAGGTTTATGGAAAAGAAGAAGGGAGAAAGAGAGAAAACAAGAAACAGAGAGTGAAAGGGAAGTATAGAAAGAAATAGAAGAAAAAGAAAGAAGGAAACAGAAGAGAGAAATAAAGAAAGAAAATACAGGAAGAAGTAAAGAAAGAAAGGGAGAGAGGAAGGAGGGCTGCATAGAAACAGAGAGAGGTAGAAGAAAAAAAGGAGGAAGAAGAGAGGAGAAGAGAAAGAAGAAAAAATTAACTCAAGATGGAAGAAAGACTTAGATGCAAGACCATAAACTATACAAATCCTAGAAGAAAACCTAGCAAGCATTCTTCTGGACATTGGCTTGGGCAATGAATTTATGACCAAGTTCTCAAACACAAATGCAGCAAAAACAAATATTGGCAAGTGAGGCCTAATTAAACTGAAGTGCTACTGCACAGCAAATGAACTATCAACAGTGTAATTAGGCAACCTACAAAATGGTAAAAACTATTTGCAAACTATGCCTCTGACAAAGGGCTAATATTCAGAATCTACAAGATATTTAAATAAACTAACAGAAAGAAAACAACCCCATTAAAAAGTGGGCAAAGGATAAGAAAAAATACTTCTCTAAAGAAGACATGAAGGCATTCAACAAACATACAAAAGAAAAATGCTCAACATCACCAATCATGAGAGAAAGGCAAATTTTTCACACTATTCAGCATTGCTATTATTTATAAGTCAAAAAACAATGAATGCTGGTGAGGTTGTAGAGAAAAGGAAATGCTTATACATAGCTGGTGAGAATGTAAACTAGTTCAGCCCCTGTGGAGAGCAGTGTGGAGATTTCTTAAAGAACTAAAAACAGAATTACCACCTGACCTAGCAATCCAGACTGGATATATGCCCAAAGGAACACAGATTGTTCTACCAAAAATAACAGAACTATTCACAATAGCAAAGTTATGGAATCAGCCTAGGTGCCCATCAACAGTGGGGTGGATAAAGAAAATGCAGTATATGTACAGCATGGAATACTACACAACCATAAAAAAGTAAAATTTTGTCCTTTGCAGCAACATGGAAGCAATTGGAGACTATTATTCTAAGCGAATTATCACAGAAACAAACAAACAAGCAGGCAAACAAAAAACCAAATACTACATACTTTCATTTATAAGTGGGAGATAAACACTGGGTATACATGAATATAAAGATGCAAAAACAGACACTCGGGCCTCCTAAAGGGGGTAAGAGAAGAGAAGAGAAGAAAACATTGGAAAACTACCTAGTGAGTACATGATCTTTATTTGGGTGATGGGTTCAACAGAAGCCCAGACCTCACCATCACTCAATATACCCACATAACTAACCTGCGCATGTACCCCTGATATTAAAATATAAATAAATAAATAAATAAGGTACTTCCTCCCACCAAAAAAGAAAAGTATTAAAGCATTACTTTACAGGGATGCCAAGATATTGCTATAAGAACCATAGGGTTGCTTCTTGAAAAGGATTCCCTGTCGTATGACAAGACTCCTGGTTTGACCTGAGAGGAGGGTAAGGGTTCACGAAGGAGCAGAAGCTTCCACTGTCATCTCCACCCATCTCCTTCTCTCTGTGCTAATATTTGACCAGCCTCTTCCCTCTGGGCTGGTGCCAGGGCATCTGACATGCCTAAGCTCTAGTGTCAGGTATCACATTAGTTAGCCCTCAGGGCTGCATCCAGATTTGTCTCGTCATCAAAACCATCTCTCAGTAGCAACAGACCCAGGGAACTCTGACCAAACACTGCTGCTCCAGCTGGAATTGTTTTCTCTGCAGAAACCTGCTTCCTGCTCCTCTATATGAATCTGGGTCTCACTCATGTTCTCCCTTGATTGTGCACCTTGGTTCTAGACAAAATTCCTTTCTTATTTTCTGTGCTTCTTGTTTCCCGAGTTGACTCTCTCCTGCTCTTCCCCAACTGGTGCCTCATTCACCCCAACAAAAGCCTCTCTGCCATCAGCTTCCTGGGTTTATCTTTTTGCTCCAATCCTGTTATTCTTGTTAGTTAGGTCAAACACACTCAGTGACTGAGAGTTAGGACTGTGCCCTTTAGAGAAGCTTTCTTTCTTCATTGGCAGTGCTGGTTGTGCTGATAAACCTAGCCTCAGTGCCAGAGAGGGTACATCAAGTGGTTGCTGGAGGGAGTCCCACTTTCTCAGGTACCTTGGTGTTTCCCACTGACTCCCTTCTTTGGTGGCAGGAGGCTGTTAGTCTTCCAAATTTATTGTCCAGGAACTTTCTTGGTACCTGTCTGTGGTTGGTACTGGGAACCTCTCGGGCACTCTTCAAATTTTCTGGATCTTGTTCTTTTGCTTGTCATGGTGTTATAGACCATTCCCACACATTGCCTAGGACTTTGACTCTCTTGTCCTGACTGGAGAGTCTCTGGTGCCATAGAGGAAGCTGTCTATGGGGATCTGTAACGCACTTGTAGACGTGCAAGCGTGAAGTTCGGCATAGCTATTGCTCAGCAGCTATGCTTTGCCAATGGAAGACATGAAGAGAGATAACGCTTTCCTCTTTCATTCCCAGGGAAAACTTTTCTGTGACACAATTCTTTGTCCTCTCAAAAGGTCCCTTGGTTCAAGTTTCAGTTCTACTGGTGGTTGCTGACTTAGTAACATATTCTTGCTAACATACTGATTTTTCTTCTTGTTTAATTTCACTCTTCCTTTATTTCATATTCCTCTTGCCTATGATTGTATATGATTATTAAACCAGCTGCATGTAGACTTTGCACTAGGCTCAGTTTTGGGGGCATCCAGGATAGAGCATGTTATAAAACACACGTTCCATTTAAGATGCAAAAAGCGAAACACGATTGCCCAGTGACGAGTCAGTAAGTAGGCCAAGGTCAGAGGAATCATCTGGTGTAAGAAACTTGAAACTGATGTAAGGCCA